CTGATTATCGTCAAATTCATCATCATCTTCCTCCTCCACTTCGTCTACAACTACTGTTTCTGTTTGCTTTCCACGTATCGACTTCAAACGTGAAAAAAACGATCTGATCTGGCCAGGTTTTAAAAACGCGGCCGGTGTGAAATAGAATTCAATAATCAAAGAAAAATCAGAAAACTGGTATACTTGTTGAATTTTCGCCTGCTCGTCTTCAGTCTTTTAGACACGTTTTTCAGATAGCTCCAAAATCGATGTTTGGGGCTGTTTGTACGACAGCTGTATTTTCATAACGAATCAACATTCAGAGCCAAGACATTCTTCATTTTGTAGAGAAATGTTTAATGTACTTAATTATGTAGTTGCAATTTTAGATTAGTTTGTAGATTTACTGCAATAATCATTTGAAAAAGAGCGAAACAAGGATACCGCTACGTGGACAAACCGTTTTATCCATGATATTAAACATAAAAATTTTAAACATGATGATGATTGCTCCACATTTTGTAATTCTTCTATGTTCATTTTGAAGTGATCATACTTTTCGATGAATATTTGTTCCATATCAACTTTGTTTACGTTTAATATTAATTGAACATAAATACGATTCGAGAATAAATGTACAGTTTTTGTGGGAGATGAACTTAAGATGTTCAAATGTCATCCAGTTGTAGAGGCTGATCATAGTTATTACAAAATTTAATATTACCATTTGTTTGCTTAATAATTTCAATTAAATCTAGTTTAATAAATATATATTTCAATAATTTAGCTGAATACATTCATCAATCATTCTTTTCACTATTAAGAATGGTTATCACATCCAAATATTGATCTGTATGGATTACCATCAATTTTTTATAAACTCAATTTCAAGTTTAACCAATGTCTGATACATTATTGATGAATTATTGAAATCCCATTATGTTTACTTAATAATATTTTAAGATAATCAATAAATTTATGTATTGTTAAACGTGTCTGAAATACATATTCAAAACCGTAATTGAACGTTTGTTGTAAAACGCATAATGCATTATCATTGTCGATGACTGATGAACTAATACACCGAATTAAACTACAAGTTGATCGTAATTTTTCAAGATTATTCACACCATATTGTTGTAGTTTTAATATGTTTTGACAAATACGACTACATATTGATAGTAAATGCTTGATATTTGTGCAACTATTAATTATTTTTGAATTAACAATCATTTCAATTAAATTCATTAAACAGTTCTCTAAAAATGGGTCAGCACTATACGTTAATTTAAAATCATCTTTGATCTCAGTTTCATATGGCGGTACTCTCTAAAAAAAAAGGCTCCATACTAAACCATTAAGGTTTCGTGTATTTTTTCGAAACTTTTAATGGTTTTGTAGTGAAATTTCGAAATTCAAAGGGTTTGTT